TAAAAAACAGAAATTTGGAATTTTCAAATCTTTTTTCAAAGAGTAAAAAAATCAATTCAGAGAAAAAAAAAAATTTTTTTAAACAGAATCTGAGGAGGTGGTTAAGTTACACTTAAAACCTTTTTTTAATAAATAAAATGTTTTTCAATGCTCTGGACTCCGTTTTTTCTTTTTTTCAGAGTTCAATTCACAAAAAGTGATTTTTAGAATTTCTATTTACAAGTGTTATTTGCTTGAAATAATAATGAAACAAAAATCACTCAATATGCGTGCACATAAAAATAGGTTCAGATAAAAAGAAAGTTGGTTCTGCAAAAGCACTGCTTGTTTTCCCCAGGTCATTTAAAAAAGCCTTGATCAGAACCTTAAGCTGATACCTTGAAGGATATGAGGACTTACCTGATCATTTTAAAAAACAGATAGTGTCAGAGGACCCATTCTGCTAGTGCATCAACTTTCCAGAAAAGCTGTACAAACTGTAGACTGTTTTAAATGAGACATTCAGTACTTGGTGGTTCTTTTATAACTCTAACCAATCGTTTTTCTCATGAAACCCCACATCACAATGCATAAATGATTTGAAGGATAAAATAAATTTCTGATTAAATTGTGATTATTACTAATGAAGCAGTCTCAATGAGGAGAATAAAGTCTTTATATATTTTTATGATAATGCATCTGGAAAGTATTCAAAGAATTGCATTTTCCCCACATTTAGTTTGTTACAGCCTTATTCTACATGTGGAAATTAGTTAATCTGTTTAATGATAATTGCAAACAAAATGCTCCATTATGGCAATTTTCTGTTTCCTTAATGGACTTTAGACTTTCTGATGAAAAAGTTGTACTGGTTTATGAAACTGTAATGTTTTTTAGCAGTGGTTAACTCAGTATGTCTAACTATTTCACACCCCTTGCATGATCTCTTTTTAACACATTTTTCTGTATTTTTTTCCCCTCATTATTGAACCAAGTGGACTAGATCAAATTTTTTAAAACCATACCTTTAATAATAAAAAGATCAACATTCAAAAAAAAAACAGAGTCTTCAGTCAGTTCATAATGGTGGCAGGTTTCCTTTCTCAGACCCGTGCTGTGCGAGGCTTGTGCTGTATGAAAGCCAAACTCTTCCATCAGGAAAATGAAAACAATGTTATCTGAATCTTACGGCAATGGTTTCTGCAACAGTTCTTCTGTTCACAGTCACAAGGGGATTTGCTTGAAGACTGGAAGATAAAATGTTGCATTAAAATGACTTAAGCAGATCATTTCAAACTATTTTTCTACTGCAACAGATTAATCGGCCATCTGTACTTAAAGTAAAAAGTACTTTGTTGTTTTAGTCACTGTGTCACACTGCTTTCACATGAGAAGCATCAAAGAATTTAATAGAGCAAGAAACCACAGCCATTCTCATCAACAGCAGCTATTTATATAAAAATGAATGGTAAGAGTCTATTTCTCTTTGAGATTAATAAGTAGAATTGCATTCATGTCTAGTGGCTAGCCAGAGTATTTGCATGTCTTGGACTATGTATTTTCCAAGATTCCTACTACATTTTTTGTTATAAATTGACAAAAAAGTAGAACAAAATTGGGAATAGGAAAGAAAATGATCCAGAATTGTTTTTTTTCAATGTCTTTTACAAATTGTGTATGTGTTTCTATCCAGACATTATATATCATACATCAGAAATCATATATCAGACATCATCAAAATGTTCTGGGTAGTTTTTGCAGAGAGCAAAGTCATACCATATACTTGGTGCTATGAATATGGTGTTGTTGCTCGGAATGTATATGCACTGGTGTCCAGCTGGAAGACAACCTACAACATGCATTGTAGTTGCACCTATGATTGGATTTTTTGTTTTGTATGTTTAGACAAATAAAAAACCTATGTATACCAGTTGAGTTACAATATTACATTTCAGAATTTGAGCCATATGCTTCTTCATTTTGATTATTCAAGAAAAAGAATACATTTGGCAATACAGTATATAGTAGGTTATAGAGAGAACCTCCAAAACGGCCTTAGAGTATAACATCATGACAAAAAATTGTAAAACAAATGTTTAAATATTAAAAATAGAAATAAAATATTTGTATCAAAATATAAGGAAATATTAACACCCTATTATAATAGACAAAAATCATTGAAATGGTAACATAGTGAAAATGGCTGAATAGGTATATATGGCTCACTTCTCAGATTTCTAACTACATTCTTTTGACAATATTATATATTCTTTCTTTAGTTCTTATGGAAAATTCTAAATGTTTACATTTTGGTTCTAATGTGTAAAAATGTGAAAAAGTTGAAGGGTCACACACATTTTTTTGCCTCTCTTTAATCACTTAATTTTAGAGATCCTTATACTCCCTTTCTTTTAAGGTGTATCTGCAGCCATTTTTTTCCTGCATATTCCCTGACTTTTGCTTTTCTTTTACAGAAATGTACTCCACATTTTTGCAAAAGTGTAAAAGTTTGTCACTTTTCACTGCATCAGTGTATTTGGTGAGTTTTTTGGACAATTTTTTATACTTAATGTCACAAATTAAACTGGCCTCACATAGTTTTATAACATGTTTCTCCACATTTTCCCCCACTCCAGGGCTTTTCTCTCCTTTTTTGTGCTGTTCAGAGGTGGAAAAACAAACACAAACCTGCGTAGTGAAGTGAGACTGTGGAGGTGAAAGGCCTGCTCTGACTACGATCCAGCTTCACAGTGGCAAACAAAGACTACCAGATGTCTGGTTAAATAAAACCTGACACTGTTTTTGCCTTTTTATAAGACTACATAAATCCCATGCTTTTGAAAAAGACAAAGATTTGGGCTATAATCCCCCAACCCCCCCACCCCCAAAGCTGCCGTTGCTCCTGGGCCCTGAAACATCATTCATCACGCCCTGTTGCTTCGTCTACCATCTGAGGAAAACTTTGCGTATTTATCAACTGTATTTTTTTTTTCTCCAGCCTTTCTTTCCTTTATATGCCTGCTTCTCAAACCTAAGACAATGTGACTGATGCAGGCAATATCTTGTTTGACCTGGGGCATGAACTACTACCTCTGGTATTTCTTCATGTAACTACTTCAGCAACTTTTTCCCTGAGTTCGAGGATTTTTTTTTTACAAAGTTTAGCACCACTAACCACAGTTGTTCCAAAGTTTAGCCACAGTAGTCGGGGTTGTCTGTGCTTTCCGGGTTTGGGGGTTTATTTATTTATTGGTGGTGGCAATCAGTGGCTGCTTTTCCAGAACTGAAATATGTCATTTATTCATGGGTCACATTTAAAGATAACAGTACCTGTAACAAGTTTTGTAAAACTGAATGCTCGTGAGCAAATTACACTGTCTTTTCAATGAAGTTGACACATACACATACATATATATATATATATATATATATATATATATATATATATATATATATATATATGTGTGTACACACATGACTCGGGCAATTTCCAATGTGTGAATTATTACATGGAGCTAAGACATGTATTAAAGGTCTTCTGCTTGGACTAACTCACATGTAGGCTGTCAAAAACTGCATTGACATTCTGCTAAACCATAAACAGGGATGACACATGTGGATTTGTATTTTTTCAGATCATGAAGGTCAATCAAATAGGATTAAGAGCCATGATAACAACAACAACAATGGCCTAAGTTTGTGAAATGTTTGCCTTGTGTTATTTTTTGGAAATGACAAGCTGTCAGGACTGCTTATGTTGCTGCTGCTATCACCTTTGGATGTCTCTGTCCCATGCAAACCTTGCTTAATCTAACTTTCCCAATTAGCTAATTACATCAGATAATATCACCATATAATAGTTCATGTTGGATATGCTGTCAATTCAGCAATTCAGCAAGCATTTTAGGAAATACAGTCAACTTTAAGTGGTGTTAAATTGAAAAAAAAAAAAAATAATACCAAAACAATTCTGCTAGCTGCTTAACAATTCCTCTCAGGCATCAATAACATATTATTTATATAAAAGGAATCTTTCCCAGCATATGACAGCATTATATATTGCAAAAAGTCCACACAATACTTTCATTTTAAATTCCATTGGACAAATACATTAGAACCAAAATTATGTCCCAGACTTTAACTCGGACTAACTCTCAAACATAGGTTTTTTTTTGTTGTTGTTCTTTACAAAAACAGGAGACAAATAGGAGAATTTAATAAAAAGTAAGAAGTTACTATAAAAAAACAGATATCTTTAGGTCTGTTCTGTCATCATATGTAATTATGATCCAAAGCAATTCAGCATAGATTATCTAAACTCAAGTGGCAGATTTACCAAGACCCCTGGACTGGCTATAGGCAACTTTAAGCCATTACACTTCCGATAAAACTTCCTTAATGTTTGTTTTCCATTATTTCTGAGAAAATTTATAATTTCCTGCCAAATCACATGAGATGTTCTATTAGGTTTAGTTAAAAGGTTGTTTACAAGCTCGCCTCTGTATTAGTTAAGCTTTAGATTGAATTTAAGGTTAACCTAATTAATTAGATAAGAATATAGAACCGATTTGTTTCCCAGTAGAGGATTATGGATCATGTTTCATATCAGCAAACTAGAAACACAAGAGCCAGCTGATTTAGTGTTTGGTCATCATCTGTGTTGTTGCTGAAGCAGAGCAAGAATTACAATCTTGGGGTTGTGGGAGGGAAAGGCTGCACCCTGGTTTGTTGTAAAGGCATTCATTTTAACATTGACGTGTGCAAAAAAAAAAAGCATTAAAACAATACCAAATCTAATTCCTCTGAGTTTAGAATAGTTTCAAGTCTCAAAAACGTCCTAAAAGTTTAAATAAATGCTACTCTTTTAATCTTTAAACTTCTTTTACCTGAAAGAAAAATCTAAGACCTTTATAATAAAAGCAATTCTGATTTGGAATAAAATACTCTTTATTAATAGCTGATCTTTCTATGCATAGATTTCTATAGATATTGTAGAGGTACATTTGGAAATTGGCTAGTTGGGATCTAAATTCACAAAATAATTTTGTCATATGGCTTGATCTTTAAGGATGAGTGCAATAGGTGGCATGAGGAAGGTTATTTAGAAAGATTGCTGTGCAAATGCTAAAAAGTGCAACGTGGTTTGGTTTTGGTCATCAAAATGAGCAGGTTGCGTGTTCTACTGGTAGTTTGAGATTGGCGGAAACAGAGAGATAGTTATTTATAGTGCATCTCAAATAGGCAGCCTATCTCAACTGTTTTTTTAATAAGATAAAAATTTGATAAAGTTTGAGAAAGTTGTCTTTGTCTGCTAATTAACTGACTTAAAATTTTTACAAAAGGCAACAAAATAAAACTCCAGCTTCCGTTGAGTTTCAGTTCGTAAAAGTTCATATTTGCATATCCTACACCAATTAATTTGAGCATTTTTTGTCTGTATAGTACCATCTGCATATAAAAGGCACAAACAAAAATGTAAAAGTTCTTCTGAGATGTCAGCTGAATTACAAACCTACTTTGGGTCTTCTGTGAACATCTGGTCTCTGGGTATTAACACAGTTGCACCTCTATTGAGAACTTCTGAAGATCAGGCCCTAGGGAGCGCTAACTCGCAAACAGACACCAGATACCTCCAAGTAAAATAAGCTCACCTAATACCTCCTGAAAAAAATTATTTAACTTTTTTTTCATTTGCTTGTTTAGTAATCAAATCATAATTTCATTTTAAAAATTACAATCCTCACCTTAAAACAATCTCTCTGTAATTTTAGAACAACAATCAAACGCCCTAAATAACAAAAGATGTTCACTTTTTTCCTTGATGCACTGAAAAACAGTAAAAGTTGGCTGTAAAGTGCAGGAGAGGTTCTCTATTTTCCTTGGTTAGCTGTGACCCTTTTTGAGCTGAAGTCCTAAAATAGTTCCTAAAAACCCTTCCTTTTTATTACGATACAATGCCCTTGCATATACGAAATCTGTTCCAAAAATGAATTGATTGCATCTTTTAACTTCTCATGAGCAGGCATGTGGCAACAGGGGAGTGGAACAGTTCACTTATAAAACAAAGAAAGCTCCATGACTTTTTTCTGTTCCATTGATAGCAAATTAGCTATTTTCATCTAACTGTTATGACACTTCCACTTTGGCAACTTGCCCATTGGACAAGAGCACTGACATCTGTGCTGATTTTAAATCCTTTTGTAAGGATGATGAACTGACCGAAATCTTAAATCTGCCCCGTTTTTTGTTTTTCTTTTGCCTTAAACACTGTCAAATGAATTGCACTGCAACCTGTTATATTCTATACATATATATATATATATATATATATATATATATATA